CTCCAGGTATTTTGGACTTCAACTCCTACAATTCCTAACAGCCTACCAGCTGTTACGAATTATGGGAGTTCAAGTCCAAAACACTTGGAGGGTGAAGTTTGCTCATGCCTACTCTAGAGTATAACCTGGAAGACAATTGAATAAAAATGGAAACGATTTCCTAGTCCTGAGACTTAAGGAAAAATATAGATCTGGATAATTAGGAATACGTATGGAAAAAAGGATTTACATTTTCAATAGCAGGTTCTATCAGAGAAAACATGTATAAAATGTTCTATAGAAGTTGTAGAACTCCCTAATTAATAGCTAAAATTGATACATCTCAAAGAGGAGAATGTTAGAGATGTAAGATGCAGGAGGGTATCTTCTTCCATATTTGGTGGACCTGGAGGGTGGTAAAAAGGTTTTGGGAAAAGGTGTTGAAAGAAACCAACAAAATGATTATTAAGATTAAGAAAAACCCAGAAATGTGCTTATTGGGTTTGTTTCAGGAGAGAACGGGCAAAGATGATGTAGAAATTTGGCAGTATAGTTATGTGGCAGTGAGAATCATAATAGCAAATTCTTGGAAGAGGGGAAAGAACTACTTATTAAAGATTAGAGAAGAAAAGTAGTAGAATATATCCAAATGGCCAAGATATCCAAATGGCCAATATATCCAATAGCGTAAGGGGAGGAAATAAAGATGAGTTAACTAGAAAATTAGAGACTAGCCTTTGGATATTTAAAAAAGAAGAGAAAAATAGATTTTGAAATAGTCAAACAGGGGATTTATTTTGTTAGACACGAGTTCCATATGCCATGGTGTCAGAAGTCATGGGTGGCGGGTTCACTGGTGGGAATGGGAAAATAATACTTGTATTTTGGTTGCTGCATCTCGAAGATTGTATGTTGTTGTTTCATATATCACAATAAAAATGTATACAAAAAGAAAAAAGAGCCAACCAATCCAGAGATGGCCATCCATTAGGACAACAACAACAACAACAACAACAACACTTTATTTATATTCCATCCTTCTCTCCGTCAGGACACAGAGTGGATTACAGTGTAAACGGATACCAGCAAACATTTAATGTCTTTTTACAATACAATGAGACACACAAAAACAAACAAAGGCAGAGGCTCCTCCTTTCATTTCTGGCTTTGGAAGCAGTGCTCATCTCAGGCTTGGGGGGGGGGGGGTGCTGTTCTCCATTTCCAAGCCAAGAAGTCTGCATTGTCACCTCCTGGTCATGTGACCAGCATGACTGCTTGGAGCATCTTATGCCTTTCCTGCCACTCACATTTGCATGTTTTTGAACTGCTAGGTTGGCAGGAGCTGAGTGAACAGCGGAAGCTCACCCCATCCCACAGATTCAAACTGCCGACCTTCAGGTCAGCAGCACAAGGGTTTGAGCCATTGCACCACCGTGGCCCTCTGCACCACCACAGCCGCATTTTAAGATGGCTTAAAAATCTCCAAACAATAAGATCCCAACAGCTCATACTACCAGGAAATTATTCCTAAAATTCTTCCTTTTCCTGCAATTTGAATCCATTGCTCAATTTTCTAGTCTCTAGAACAGCAAAAAAAAAAAAAAAAAAACAACCCTGTGCTCTTTGAATGTCATAAAAATGGTCGTTAGTTCTTCCCGCTGCGTACATTTGTCATATTCTGTTACAAATGTGTTGCTAATCACATCTAATTCAATACATCATCCTTGTCCCTAAACAGTTCAGCCTGTTCCTGATCTATTAATCCTCTCATAATATTCATACATCTTTGAGAAGGGTGCCAAATGGATGTGCTTCTGATAAGGAGGCTATAAATGGCTTGACCCAAGAGCATCAAACTGCTCCTGTTGTGTGGAATTGGAAATCTAATTTCTCACTTCTGTGGCCTATTTCTGAATCTATCCAGCTGGGAGAATAAAAAATGGGAGATGATTAAAATTACAGTGTACTTTCTATATTGTAACAATAATAATACTGCTGGCCAACACACCTTTTGGTACTTCAAACGTTAGCCCTGTTTCTGGGTATATTTGACCCGCTGATTCAAAAAATTACACTGGTTTTCCCCTATCAACTCTAGTTTTTGAGATACAAAACATATATATGCCATCTTGCAGTCATCCACTGCCCATCCATAGGAAACTGTAATAGCAATATCTAAGAAACTAGAGCTGGTGCAGTCTATGCAATTTTTATTCTGGGTACAACAAAGTTATAACTCAAAATCAATGCATTAACAACATCCCACCAGCAAACCCAATTACTGGTGCAGATGGAGAATATTTGGTCCTGTTGAATGGCAATTCCATGATGTATTGTCGAAGGCTTTCATGGCCGGAATCACTCCGTTCTTGTGGGTTTTTTCGGGCTATATGGCCATGTCCTAGAGGCATTTCTCCTGACGTTTTGCCTGCATCTATGGCAGGCATCCTCAGAGGTGAGGATGATGGTTCGCCATTAACCAAGCTGTTTAGGATTGGTGGGAGTTTAAACACAGGATTTCCAGGAACAAAAAACCCTGCCCTATGTTAAAAACACTTCTCAGTAGCGCTATTCATATGTTTATGTGAAACACAAATATAGTTCACTTAGGAAGAGACATGGCCATGTGTGGAAGCCCTAATATCCCCCATGTGCCTAGAAATGGTATACATTGGTGTACTGTGAAAGGCTTTCATGGTCAGAATCACTGTGGTGTTGTATGGTTTCTGGGCTGTACGGCCAATGTTTTCTAGCAGCATTTTCTCCTAATGTTTCGCCTGCATCTGTGGCTACTGGCATCTTCAGAGGATCTGATAGTATTCAAGCAAGTAGAGTATAAAATATACCTGTGGAATAATGTCCAGGGTGGGAGGAAAGAACAACTGTCTGTTAACCAAGTGTGAAGGATACAATTAGCAAGTTTGATTTGCAAGTGTTTGAGTGGGATCCATCCATTAGCATGTGAGCAACTTTATTTATTTATGTATCTATCATGTCAGGAGGGAACCAAACAATTCTATTGTATTTTTTAAAAAAAAAAACATAAAGTTTGCAAACTTGGCATTCTATTAAATGTCCTTTGACCAGTAGCTGGCCACTTGGAGTGCCTCTGGTGTTGCTATAAGAAGGTCCTCCATTGTGCATGTGACAGGGCTCAGGTTGCATTGTATTAGGTGGTCTGTGGTTTGCTCTTCTCCACACTAGCATGTCGCGGATTCCATCATGTGAGTAACTAAGAAGATTGAATAGCCAATAGTGAGGACATCTGCCTGGAAGTAGCCAGGCTTTTGTTCTTTTGGAGTGTTTATTGCCCGGAGGCATCCTTTGTCTGGGTGATGTTCACTGACACTTGATTGTTTGTTGTCTGGAATTCCTCTGTTTCTGAGTGGTGTTCTTGATTTTTCCACGTGCTTGTGGGTTTCAATGGCTTCTCTGTGTAGCCTGACAAAGTGATTGTCAGAGTGGTCCAGAATTTCTGTGTTCTCAAATAATATGCTGTGGTTCATCTGGTATGGCTGACTTCTCTGGCTGAATGAGTCTGCAGTGTCTTTTGTGTTCTTTGATTTGTATTTGGGCAATGCTGTTGTTTTCAGTGGTCCCTATGGAGACTTCTTGTCCACAGCTGCATGGTATGTGATAGACTCCTACAGTGGTTAGGTAATCCCTCTTGTCCTTTGCTGAACGTAGCTTTCAGGGAATTTTCCTGTAGATAGTTTGTAGGTTGTGTTTCTTCATCAGCTTCCCTACGAGGTCAGTAGTTTCCTTGATGTATGGTAAGAACATCTTCCCTTTTGGTGGCTCTTTATCTTTATTCCTGTGGCTTGTTCTAGGTCTTGTTGCTCTTCTGATATTTGCAGAAGAGTAACAATTAGCCTCTAGAGCCCAGTTTAGGTGGTTCAGTTCACCTTGAAGGAAGTGGTGTTCACAGATTCTGTTTGCACGGTTTACCAGAGTTTTGATTGTGCGGTCTCGGTCTCTCTCTCTCTCTCAGTCTCTCTCTTGGTGTTACTGAAAAGTGTTGTCCATGAATCCAAGCCAGTCCTTGAGACATTGAGTGTTGATCCCTGGTTAAGTTCTAGAAAAGAAACAAACAGTTGTAGCCAATAGGCACAAATATTGTGCTGGTCCCAGGCACATGGGGCAGGGTGGGTGACAATTGCCATTCCCTCAGTTTGGATAAATGTGATACACTGGTTTAGATCAAAAGCACCAAGGGTTCCAATGTGGACCTTCTCCCTCGTCGCTTTGGAGCTGTCAGGGGTTGAACCAGGGAATCCTTCCTGCAAACAATGTCCTCTGCTATTGAGAGACAGCCTTATCCTTTGAAGACAACATTGTTCTATATGAGAACCTGCATATAACTTCTGTCATTCTAGAACTTTGCACTTTAAATGTTTCATCTTCCAAACACTTTCCAGTTTTGTCATAACGCCAAAAGCTAGCCTTGTTAAAATGTTCTCTATCTTGTTGGAAGATCTGGAGATCTACTTCCATTAAGTTTAGAACGTAGCTAGTGCTAAACTAGATGGACCTTATAGCTGACTTAATATACAATACGACCCATGGATCTGTTGAAAATATGTTCCAATATCCCCTGTGGATATCTGAAGCTGTTGACAATACCAGGCATGGGCAAACTTCGGCTCTCCAGCTGTTTTGAACTCCAATTCCCACAATTCCTAACAACCTCAGGCCCTTCCTTTTCCTCTTCTGCTTGAGCAGCTGAGGGGGGAAAGGAAGGGGCCCGAGGCTGTTAGGAATTGTGGGAATTGAAATCCAAAACACCTGGAGGGCCGAAGTTTGCCCATGCCTGGTAATACCCTACTTTTTGACCATGCTTGGGCCAAAACCATACCATAGAGTTGTACTGGAGGGCCTCCAAGAGGAGAATGGGTAAGTGAAAATAGGTATATTGAATCTGTGGATAAGGGGTTCATCGTGCATTGCATATTCTTGTCTTCCTCCTGTAAAGTCGCACCTTGAGACAACTTTAGTAACTGCTTTCCTTCCTCTTTCCGCAGGATGGCTACTTGTCCCACAGGCCAAAGGAGAAAACGCGAACAGATAGCAATAATGAAAACTCTGTTCCCAAGGACTTTGAAAACATTGATAATAGCAACTTTGCTCCTAGGACGCAGAAACAAAAACACCAGCCGGAACTGGTGAAGAAGTCTATGAGTAAACAGAAGGAGCGCTTGAGAAGGAAACTGGAGCAGGAGGAAAAGGTGAAAGAGAACTCCCTCCTTGGGAAAAATTCCAATGAGGTGCCTCGGGAGGGCATCCCAATCTCACGGAACGACAACCACGGCAACCATTGGAAGGACACCCACCCCTTGGCCCGGGAGCACCCTTGGAAGCAGGGGGGGAATGGCTCCCCGGAACTGGGATATGAACAATCCTTGCCCAAATGTGAGATCTCGGGCAAGGAGGCACTCTCCGCTCTCTCCAGAGCCAAGTCCAAGCTGTGCCGACAGGAGATTGCAGAGATGTACTGTATGCATAGGCAAGGGAAGCTGATGCCGGAGCAAGTGACCCGTTTTTGTCCACTAGAAGGTAAGTCGGACAAGGAAACAAGTGGGTGCAGATGTGGAGAGCACCTGCAGGGATTGGAGGGGTGGTCTATTCAGGACATAGGAGGTCTGTTGTGGTTGTTCAAGTATCACACAAAGACCAGGAGGAGTAAAGTTGGAATCCCCATTTAGCCAGGAAGCTGACCTTGGTGACTAACCAATTTTCTTAAAAAGCGTTTTAGGAAAGGAGTTGATAGTTTTGATATGTTAAATTTTGATGTGTGCAAATTATGAACAGCAATGGATACTGATTGCAAGGCCCTTTGTGGTTCCTTATGTTATTAGATCTGGTCTGGCTGATGAACCGTGATACATGAGTCAAGCTAAATAATATGAATCCAAAATGTCATGTAACAGACGAAAAAGCCAGCACAATCCGAAGATGCATTAATATAAGTATAGAATCCAGATCAAAGAAAGTAAAGGGACCATGATGGGCTACAGAGTCTAGTTCATGAAGGAGAGAATATTTTTTAATTATCTAGTGAGTGATATTTTTTTATTTTGTTGTGTAAATGAGAAAAAGAGAAAAAAAAAGAGAAAATACATAAATTAAAAAGCAAAGAAAATGTTAACAAGACATTATATGAGCCATCTAATGCAAATCCTATACAAACTATTAGTGACTGTACAGGCCCATAGCCAGGATTTTGGTTCGGCGGGGCTGAGTCTGAGTGAAAGAGGGTCTACCCTAGAAAACCTTTTGTATCATTACCCCAATACCCCCATGCATATGGGATATATTGAGTATGGTGATCAGATCATGATATGAATAAACATAACAGTTTAAATAATGCACCAGTAAGGCCTTTTCGCAGACCACCATGAGAATTTGGGGGGGGGGGGGGGCTACATGCCTGTGACTGTACAATTATCCCTTCTTATCAAACCCCTATCTCAATATGGATCTCATATCTTACAAGCATCTACCTTTGTATCTTATCTTAATAAATTCCCTTTGTGGCTACTTTGAAACCCACCTTTGTCTTCCTTTCCAGAAAGCCAAATGCCAGCCTCCATTTATTTACCAATTCTTCATTATTTCCTCCTCTAATACCATTAGTTAGCCTCTACTCTAATACTTTCTCCAATCTTTAATAGTTAACTCTACTTCCCCCTTCCAAGATCTTGCTATTGTTAGTCTTGCTGTAACAAAGCTGTATTGGCAAATCAATCTTCTACACTAATAATCCTCTTTCTGAATAATCCTAAAAGGCATATTTCCAGGTTTTTTGTCACTTTTTGGTGATCATGTTACTTGTTCCTATAACCACCTTTTCCCAAAAATTTTGTACTATATTGTGGGACCACCAAACATGAAAAAGGCCTTTCTGCATAATGCATCTCCAGCATTCCCTTCAACAAGTTTGATCTGTTTTGACCATTAGCTCTGGGGTTATATAGCTTCTGTGAAACATTTTATACATATTTTCTCCAACTGAGCCAGCTATCGAGACTTTAAATCCCCTGTGCCAGAGATGTTCCCAATCCTCCAAATCGATATTTTTCCCTATATCTTTAGGGATATAATATGCCAAGAAGAAGGCAACTCAGGTGAGACTGAGTCTGGAAACCAAGACCCAGGAAGAGCAGTTGAGAAAACTGGATATATCTGGTCGGGAGAAAAGAAAAAGAGAAATAATCGCTTGAAATATTTGAAGCGCTGCCAGAGAGAAAAAGAAACCAACTTGCTCTCTGCTGCTCCAAGTCAAACCCAGTGGGTTCCAATTACAAGAAAGAAGATTTTGATTTCACAATAGAAGGGACCCTTTATCAACAACAGGCTGCTTCAGTGGGCAGGAAGCTCTCCCTTGTTGGAAGGTTTTGAGCAGCAGTGAATGCCCTTCATTTACAAGAGAAGGATTAGATGATCTCTGTGATACCTTACAACTATCCAGTTCTGTGATTTTCTGACTACCTTGGTTCTAAGGCACAACAAACATAAGTTCTCCATCCAAATTTTCTGCCATGAAATGAGAGGCAAAGCTAGAATGAGGTAGCTACAAGTCCTTCATCATATCTATGGAGCGAGGCTGATCTAGAATGAGAGTGAGGCTGATCTAGAATGAGAGAGTTGCAAGTCCCCATCCAAATGTTCTTCTATCAAGTGAGGCAAATCTAGAATGAGAGAGTTGTAAGTTCTCAATCTGAATGTTCTGCCATGGAGTGAGGCAGATCTAGAATGAGAGAGTTGTACTCCATCCGAATGTTCTGCCATGGAAAGACAGGCAGATCAAGAATGAGAGAGTTGCGAGTCCTCCATCCAAATGTTCTACTATCGAGTAAGAGTTGGCTCTAGAATGAGAGAATTGTAAGTTCTCCATCCAAATGTTCTGTTATGGAGGGAGAGGCAGATCTAGAATGAGAGAGTTCTAAGTTCTCCATCCAAATGTTCTGCCATGGAATAAAAGGTGGATCTCGAATGAGAGAGTTGCGAGTCCTCCATCCAAATGTTCTACTATCGAGTAAGAGTTGGCTCTAGAATGAGAGAGTTGCAAGTCCTCCATCCAAATGTTCTACTATCGAGTGAGAGGCGGATCTAGAATGAGAAAGTTGTAAAGTTCTCCATTCGAATGTTCTGCCATGGAATAAGAGGCGGATTTAGAATGAGAAAGTTGCAAGTCCTCCATCCAAATGTTCTGCCATGGAGTGAGAGGTGGATCTAGAATGAGATAGCTGCAAGTTATCCATCCAACAACTTCTAAACTCTCTGGACTTAAATTCCCAAATTGAATTCTGGGAACTTTACAAATTCCATTTCCTGTTCCTCATTCTCAAAGAAATAACGGTGTTTATCTATATCAGTATGTTCAGAGGGAGCTTGTAGCACCTTTGAGACTGATTGAGAAAAGGAGCTTTGTATGTTTGGGTTCACAGAGCTCACATTGTGGATCGTGGAGTAGTTAAAGAAGTGTGAAGTCATTTGCCAATCCAGTTAGGTTGTGTTTAGTATTCCTTCCCTTTTTCTTTGGCACCTTATGGGATTTGAATGCTTCTTCAATTGGTCCCATCACTGAGGATAAATGATCGTCCAGAAAACCAGCTAGGGTGTAATATTCAAAATTTATCCCTGCTCTCATGCTGATAGCAAATTAACTTTGCTAAACTCGATCATATGTCCTCAGCAGGCATATGTGTAATTAAAAGCAACACACGTAGGGTTCACAGTAGCCCTGAAATCTGCCTGCTGTAAAAGGTCCATATGCCCCTATGGAAATGCATGCTGGTTATTATGATAACACTAAATACTTGTAATTTTTTTCAAAGCAATTTAATCTGAGGCATGGTTAACCCTTCCTTTACTATAATAGGGATGTTCTTTTGAATGTGCTTGCCATAATCACCGTTATTGGTAGACTCAATACGGCTAGTTTGATGTAAGCAAGAGACCGCCGGATAGTTTTATTTGTGATCTCAGGCAACAGCAGTTCAACAAGGCAGGAAAACACTCTTGAAAATATGTCATATTAATGAGTGGCTAGTTGATGCAGAGCAAATCACATTGAAGCGTGGCATTTGAGATATGATTTCCTATGAGCCTTAATTGGATTAGCAGGGATCACATTAAAGATAGATCAACTATGCAATGTTTAGAGGATTATTGAAGCATGTGTATGTGTGTGTGTGTGCATGTGTTCTTTTTTGTATCATCTTCTCTAATCCTGTTAGGGACTGCTATGGAACAGTCTTGAGTCAGGCAAGCAAGACACAAGTGAAGCTCCCATCTGCTTCTACAGCATCTTGCATTCGGACACAACACTGGACAGTATCGCATGGCAATGGACAACATGCACAGCTGGCTTTGCAGCTTATCTGGCAGTACTTGCCTTGCTTAGCAGTGGGACTGACACCTCTTCTCAGGCACAACCAAGCCAGCTTTTGAGTAATTGAATCATGAGGAAGCCCTACTGAAATATTGGAGCCCCCAGTGGTGCAGTGAGTTAAACTGCTGAGCTTGTTGACCAAAAGGTCACAGGTTCAAATCCGGAGAGCGGTGTGAGCTTCCGCTGTCAGCCCCAGCTTCTGCCAACCTAGCAGTTCAAAAACATACAAATGTGAGTAGATCAATAGGTACCACTCCAGCAGGAAGGTAACGGCGCTCCATGCAGTCATAACGGCCACTTTACCTTGGAGGTGTCTATGGACAACGCCAGCTCTTTGGCTTAGAAATATTGATGAGCACCAACCCCTAGAGTCAGACATGATATATGCTTTAACCCACTGCACCACCTGGGGCTGTAAGAACATGGGGGCAATGTAGTTGAGGTGAGGTTAAGGAACAATGGCATGAGGAGGAATGGGGAACCGGACCTTTTCCCTAGAAGCTATTTTCCAGATTGGAATTGCATGCATGCTGACCCACACAAGTCTGTGTAACAATAAACATTTCCCTAGGCTGTTTGTTTCTTTGTGTCCTTGATAACAGATTTGACCTATTTGAGAGAAGACATGTAGTTAAAATATTGCATCCCTCCTTCTAGAATGGGGCTAGTCAATTGTCAGAGATAATGGAAAATGACATCTACCAGGATCTCAAAAATGTGGCTTGTAAAGTGAATAACTTGAACTCATCACTTCTTTCGAGCATTGCAGCCAAAATGTGAGAATAATGGGGAGTTAGTGGTACTGGTTCATTTCCTGGCATCTCTGGTCCCTAGGAATCAGCTTGTTTGTGATGGGGAAAAGCTCTGTTTTTTGTTTCAGCAAATACAACAGGGTTAGATGAATGGACAGATAGATTAATTTAGAATGAGGGTAGCAAGTTCTCCATCCAAATGTGTTGCTATGGAGTAGGGCAGATCTAGAATGAAAGAGGTGCAAGTTTTTCATCCAAATGTTCTCCTATGGAGTGAGGCAGATCTAGAATGAGATAGCTGCAAGTAATCTGTCCAAATGTTCTGCTATGGAGTGAGAGATGGATCAAGAATGAGATAGCTTCAAGCAATCTGTTCAAATGTTCTGCTATGGAGCGAGAGACAGATC